GCGAGTGGTGGCATGTCTGTCCATCCACACCCCCCCCCCGCCTTGGGGTGCCCCCCACCCCAGGGTGGTGCCCTGGCACCCACTGCTGGGAGCATCCCCCCCCAGGGCACATCCTAGGAGGCCCCGAAAGGGAGTTTCGGGGGGTCCCCCAAGAAGGGGGTTTCGAGGGGGCCCCAAAAGGGAGTTTCAGGGGGGCTCCTCAAAATAAAAGGTGGTTTCAAGGGGCCCCCAAAAGGGAGTTTCGAGAGGGACCCCAAAAAGGAGTTTTCAGGGGACTCCAAAAGGGAGTTTGGGGGGGCTCCTCTGAAAAAAAGACAGTTTCAAGGGGGCCCCAAAAGGGAGTTTTGAGGGGGACCCCAAAAAGGAGTTTCCAGGGGGCCCCAAGACAGGGTTTTTTTGAGGGGTCCAGAAAAAGGGGGTTTCGAGGGTCCCCCAAAAAGGGGTTTCAAGGGAGCTCCAAAAGGGAGTTTTGGGTGGGGACCCCACAAATGTTGTTTCGAGGGGACCCCAAAAGGGAGTTTTGGGGGGACATCAAAAGGGATTTTCCAGGCGGAGCCCCAAGGGGAGTTTCAGGGGGGGCCCTCAAAAACCCCACAGTTTCAAGGGGTGCCAAAAAGGGCAATTTTCAGGATTCCTTTAAAAAAAAAACAGTTTTGAGGGTCCCCCCAAAAGGCTGTTTCAAGCACCCCCCAAAAAGCAGCTTTGAGGGGCCCCAAAAAGGGAGTTTCGAGCCCCCCGCCCAAAAGACAGTTTCGAGGAGCCCCAAAAGGGGGTTTTGAGGAGTTCCCCCAAGAAAGGGGGTTTTGAGGGGTCCAGAAAAAGGGAGTTTTGAGGGCCCCCCCAAAAAAGGCAGTTTCGAGGGGCCCCAAAAGGGGGTTTTGAGGGGTCCAGAAAAAGGGAGTTTTGAGCCCCCCCCCAAAAGGGGATTTTGAAGGGTCCTCCCCTCAAAAGGTGGTTTCGAGGGGCCCCAAAAGAGAGTTTCGAGGGGTCCCCAAAAACCCTTTGGGGTCCAAAAAAGACACTTTCGAGGCTCCCCCCCCAAATGACGTGTCATTTGGGGGGGAGGCCCTTCTGGGGGGCTTCCACACACCCCCCGTTGTTTTGGGGGGGCATTTTGGGGGGGGCCACCCCCCCCCAGGTAACAAAGGGCTTCCTACCCATAGAGGACCCAGGAGTTCAGGGTTTGCCCCCCCCC